GATGCGGCTAAATCCATTCCAGCATCGTCTTCATGTGCATATTTTGGTGCGTGTGCATTTGGATTGTCTAATGTAATTTGAAGATCTCTAGAATGATCCCAATCATCTCTATCCTGGTCGTATATCTGAATGGTATCCGTGGCGGGGTCGTAGACTTGACCTGTTCTCCTGGGTGGAAAAACGCCATCGACCGGAGTTGTATCAATGAGAGATATTGGTTGAGGTGCGTCAGGATATTTTTTGTAAAATTCCTTAATGAGACGCAGAGATTTCTTCAAATTTGCTGCGGGTTCCCAAGTTTCTTCAGCTTTAGAATAACCCTTCCAATGCACTAAATATTGAAGTTTGCCACGAATGACGCGAGAGTCGACTATGTATTCGACTTCCCATTCTTCACCAGTCTTCTTCTTGATAGGAGGACGGGGTCTGAGAGTGCGGTCTGGTATTTCATCTTTGTGGTAGAGTGTGAGCTTGGACGCATGAAAAACTGGATGAACACCGTATTGTCATGGCATTTTGAGTCTGTGTATGACTGGTCCTAGTTTTTCTACGATTTCGAAGGGTCCATCTCTCCGTTGTGCCAATTTGGCTCCCGATGTCTGCCAATCTTTAGTGGAGAGTAATACTTGATCTTCAACTTTGAAAGGCACGGGTCGTATGGATTGATCGTAGTACCACTTCATGCGTTCAGCTGCCAATAGAATGGCTGCTTTTGCTTGCTCTTGCGCTTCTACTCGTGCCTGCATTATGGAATCTAGCGTATTATGCTTTATAGGGTCCATTATTGTTGGTTCTGCACGTGGATGTCTACCGTATTCGACAAAGAATGGTGAATTCTTAGTGGCTTCAGAAGCCTGATTGTTATAGGCGAATTCGGCAGTTGGGAGTAATGTACTTCAGTCTTCCACGCGTTTATCAGTATAAATATGAAGATATTGCTTTAGCGACTGATTTGTTCTTTCAGTTTGACCATCGGTCTCCGGATGATATGCGGATGACATTGT